GCTTTTCTAAGCAGGTTTTGCATTAAAAATAACTTTTTAATTGAAGGAAAGGATATATATAAGGAGGAAATTGAACTGATTTCAGAACCTGGTTTTAGAACTAATAGATCTCATCCTTTCACACCAAGCTTAACTCACTCACTGACAGAGGAAAACAAATGTTCCTGCTTTTTCAAATTCTAGTTTGTTTCTTAGTTTTGAATGACCTGGTTATTGAACTGAACAAAATTTTCTTCAGTTCACTCACTAAGCTGAAACGAAGGAAATAATATCTTTTCACCTTTCAGGAGGCTAAAGTTCTCAAAAGATTGTTTATAATTTCAAAAAAACTTTGCATCCAGGTGTCTAGCCAGAGATTTCTCCATGCTTAGCATCACAACTTTTTTGAAAACTTTCATAGAAATCAGATGCTGTTTAAGTACTATTTTTGTATGTCTTTCAGACATAGCAAGTAGCCTTTCTGTCAGTAATTCTAATTTTTTTTCCCATACATTCATGTATGAATTAAAGAAATTAACTGAAACTGAAAAAAAATCTGCCAGAGAGGGGAGGTCTGGAGGAAAGTGAGATCGAAGGGGTTTGTGCTTTTTTGGTACTTTTGTCTGACACATCATGAGTTGTCATCTCGATTTCTCACCCTGGATGATACTTGTTGCTTTAGGGATTATTTTTTTTTTTCCCCAGAGAGAAGGAAACATTTTCTATATGGGACATAGTAGCTGTTTTGGTAGGTGGTGATGATTTTAAAAGTTATCTATTCCTGTTAACGGGTGCTAACCATAGCACAGAAGCACTCAGAAACCTCCTCATGGGAAGAGAAGGGGACACATATACTCCCGTTTCAGTCAATGGTAGAAGTTCCTGAAGTGCTTTTTTTTTTTTGCCACATTTTTCTTGGGCTTGTCTTTTACCTTTACTTTTCTTTGTCGATCTCACTGATTGTAGTGGGCTGGCAAACAAGGTCTATTTAGTTAAAACTGCTAGGATTCAATTAAGGGAAGTTTTTCTTTACCTTTGCTGTAATTTTACGATCCATCTAGTAGGTAAGTCCTCCCCTTTAGCTGCCTGTTAATAAGCAAGTTTCAAGCCATACATGAAAAGTCCATTGTGTTTTATTTCCCATAGTGCTGCCTCTTTGTTGGGTAACTTCTAGGCTAGATAACAGAGTTGGAAAGGACTCTGTTCCGAAACTATTAATCCCCAGAACTGAGAACCTGGTTTGAAGACACCTCACTTCTTTCATGCATGCCTATTCCAAAAGATGTGACTTCTGACGGTGCTTAAAGAAGGACCTTAGCCTTTTTTCTCAAAGGATTTGAGGCTTCTTTTGAACAACCTCATGCTTTTAAAGTGCTCCTGTTGCTAGTAACAAAATCTCGAGGTTCTCCTCTGCTCGCCTCTCGGGTGTTAGCTACTGAGTACCTTCCAAACTCAAAGATCTGTGGAAACTACTGAATAAAAGAAAGCTATTGAGGTTTTATGTGTTTACTTAGTCCTGTACAGATTTATACTCATCTGCCTGGGCTGTTTGCCTTCAATAGAAATAATTGAAGCAGAACATCTCTGAACAACAGACTTCTTGTCTTGGTGTTCAGCTGCATGTACTCGCCTTATCTTGGTATGTTCAAGCTTAGATCTTTGCTTATAGAAAATCTGATTGGTGTCCAAAGATACTGTCCAAGAAACTGTCAGGGACCTACGCCAATTGAGCTATGATGGCCATGCAACATCAAGGCAAGATGTAGCTGGCCCATGGGCCTGTGTGTGAAAGAAGGAGTGAGGTGGTGTTCTCAGGTAGCTCTTAGCAGCTTTCTTTCTCTGATACTTCACAAGGAAGTGGAAAATTTCTACATTGTTCTGTATGAAGGACAGCAGGAGCATGTTTCCTAGCCTAGTGCCCAGCTAGCCCGTTAGCTCTTTCATGGAAATTCCTTGCAGATACTTATGCTTATGTTGGGGATGTGGCTGCCTGTTTTGCAGCATTTCTAGCTCTTCAATTCTAGGAAGCTCACAGACAGATAAAGAGACTTCAGCAACATCTGTACTTAACTATCTCACTACATTCCAAGATTTTAGGTAGTTACATATTGTTGAGGTTTTGATAGCTTTTGGAGGAGTGTATTCTCAGAATGGTGTGAGCTGAGATAGCTTGAGGCAAGCTAGTCACAAGCCAGAGAGAGGAGCAGGACCTTCTCTGAAGTCTTCAGCAAAGGCAAAAAGCCGGTGCCAGACAGCTTTGGTTTGGAAAGAGCTAGTGATACTTTTTTCTGTCTGGGAAGACTGAGCGGGGGAGGCTTTCTTGTAGACTGAATCTAAATCTTACATCCTGAAGTGGCTGCACACGGAGTTTGTACCCTACATGGGTGGATTTGTTTCACATTTGTTTCAGGTATCACCTGGGTTCACAGACCGCCCTGGGGCAAAAGCAGAGAGGCATTTCAAAGATGACACTGTAGGAGCAAAACAGGCAGCCAGCAATTCAGTACTCGCTATTACCTCAATATCCCTTCTTGGGAGAGGGATCTGGGTGATAGCAAAGAAATCTGCATGCTCCCAGCCTCTTCCTTAATTTCCTGGCCAGGGTACATCAGGAGGCAGCACTGAGTTCCTCACCCTTTTGGTTCTTCCTGAAAGCATTGCCCAGCCCCATAGCAAACATATCATGAATCATTCATCTTTAATAGATTATGCAAATTGAGGACATCAGATCAATGAAAATCAATAACTGCAACCATTTAATTGCCAGCAAAAACATTTTAAGAATGAGCATTATCTGAAGTCCTTTCTTGGGTAATGGCACCATTAATCCAAACATTGGATCCTGGCCTAAGTGTAGAGGAAAAATTCTCCGCCCCTCTTCCCCTGCTGCCTTTCAGGGTGTTGAGGGGTTTTTTTTCCTTTTCATTTCCAGTTTCTGAATTTCCCCATCATTACCACCAGTGAACAGCTCCCAACACTAATAGTTCTGCTTTTGTTACTCTGCACTGATTGAAATGTCGCATACAGATTGAGATGTTAGTGCTAAGTTGCCACCTGGGAATGTCAAGCTGGGTCTGAAATGAACTTTTCTCACTCTTGGATCCAGATGGATCAGATGGGAATGTTCTTGAGCTGAGCTGGGAGTGTTGCAGGGAACAGAGTGGGGATGGCACAAGGTGGGGGGGACATGACAAAGATTTTCTGCCTTAGCCCACAGCCTCTTCTGTGAGGTCAAATCTGTCTCCTGTCCCCTTGTGAGAGTCATGTCCAAAGCTTGTGCAATGTCCCCAGCCTTCGGGAATTCTGCTCTCATATTAACAGGCTGGAAGGCACCATCTTCACTTAGGCAGAAGGACTAAAAAGAATTATTTTAATGGCCCCTTTGAATCTTAAACTCTGGTTTTAGGCACCTCGCCTTTACATCCAGCTGTGGGGATCTGCCTTCCATGAAGGGAAGGATAGTACTGCTCTCCTACTGGCTTTGCCTCACAAAGACAGGAAATTATTTCCTGTGAGAGATGTAGATCTGCTAAATGGTAGATGGACACCAGCTGAGTTTTGTCTTGCATATGCAAATACAAAGAAAGGTGGAAAAATTTTGCCACAGCTGAGCCATTTTTTTCTGGTTGGCTAAGAAACTGCATGCCTACAAGGATCTTGGATCAAGCCTGATAGCAGTAAAAGCCATGAAAAAAAAGCCTGAGTGTGTCATGCTTTCTAGGCGCTCCCTAAATATGCAGTTCTACTCCCCATGGTTCTCCATGACATTTTGCAGACCTCACACAGGATGTCCTCTGTATTTGGGGCGACTGTTACTAATCCCAAAGTTCCTGGTAGCCAAAAGTTGCATGTAACAATATGCTTTTGCTCAGTGTTTGCTAAACAAGCAAGGACTGCCTGCCTCAGCCGTGAGCTGCTTTGACCTCATTAGCTGGGGCTACTGCAGTAAAAAGTTGAGATACAAACTTCAGTACTCTTGATTCTGTGCCATCAGAGGACAGCTTTTTGGCCAAGAGGCAACAGCTCCTTCCCTTGCTAACAGGACTTATGCCTCTTACACTGTGAGGTTTCTAGAGGGGTGATATACCAAAACAGGGGCAAGTCACTCGGGCCTTGCCAGCTGCTTTAGCTACCCGGGGGGAGATGTGCAAATTTATAGTAGCTGTGTGAGCAGGGACAAGTGGCAACTAAAGCCTGAGAAGAACGGCTGTGGCACCAGAATATCTCCTTATGGCTCGTGGCAGTCAGTCTAACACTGGTATCAGGATGGTGTGCCCCACAGCCCCAGGACAACACTGTGCTGCTCAGGTCCTGCACATGTCACCAGCAAAGAGGAAGTTTCTGTGGAGCAGCTGCTGCAGAAATTGCCTCCTACTTCTCTGCATCCCGATTCCTCTACTGTCTTGCACTTGCTCCGATTTCCTACTCTCCCGGACATGCCTGAGTTCAATGGGCCCACACGTGAGGGAAGGGGGAAGGCTGTGAACAAATTTCTTTTGCCAACTGCTGTTAGAAACTCACGGGCTTAAGGAGGAGAGAGTTTAGCAATCACAGTTCAGCAGACCTCTAGTATTTAGTTTGCAAATGCCCCTTCCAAATGCCAGGGCTGAATAAAACTTGAATTATTATTTCTCCCTGAGAAAACCAAGCGCAGATCATGGGTAAGCCACGACCCGCTTGTTCTCAGACACAAAGGAAAAAATCACAGTGTGCATTTGGACATATCTGTCCTCCATCAACATCCATTCCTAAGCCCCATCTGGGCACACAAGTTCCCGATTCACACCTGGGTTTGCCTGTCTTTGGGTCACACCTGGGCACCGCTAGATGTACCCAAAACTGCCAATACTCTGAATTTCAAGCTTCTCTTCAGCCCTTACATCCTCCACAGTCTTTCTGTCTCTTTCCATGTTTGCCACAGAAGGATATCTTGCATTAGCAGAAAAAGCAGAAGCTAATGGTGATGAGGGAAATAAAAAAAAAAAAAAAGCTTGGTTCTACTGTTTGGTCAGGCAGCTTACCGGTCACCACAGGGTACGTCTGGGGTCCTGACACATTTGTCCCCAGGTCTGGGTTAGCAGAGGTGGATAGACTTGATTTGACTTCATCGAGACCAGGGGTCAGAGCTGGGAGGGAGTACTCATTACCCTGGGGAAGAGAGGAGAAAGACAGCTCGCTATTGATGCGCCAGGAGAAAGGGAAGGGTGTACAGATGGGGGGGAGGAAGAGGAGAGATGCAAACCCCTGCACAGATGGAAGAGGAGGAGGAGGAGGAAACGGAGAAGATGAAGTGACAAGAGGGTTGGGGGGGGGTCCTAGGATGAGCTATCCCACCCGCCTGCGGGCTGCTCTGAAGGAGAAGAGGGGTGAGGGATCTGGCCCGTTATCCGTGGTATGGCTGAGCCTTCGTTGAGTGCTGTGGGGATGGAGATGGCTGCCTGTGCCAGCCCAGGGGAGAAGAAAGGGGAAATCCACATCCTCTCCTCTTGGCTGAGCGGGGGCAGGAGGTGTTTGCCCTGGTGACAAGGACAGCTGGGGCAGAGGACTGCAGTGACATGACTGGGACAGGCAGGCTGTAGGCAGCAGCCAGCGTTGGCCGACTGTAGCCAAGCTCTCCGCTGAGTCATCTGCCTCCCCTCTGCTGTTACCTCTGTCCTAGCTCTTTAAAAACAAACAAAGAAGCCTCATCCCCTGCCTCTGTCACTGTGCATTGGGGTATGAAATTGGGGAGGGGGGAGCCACATGGCTAACAGAAGGGTGGGAGGGGGAGAGCCATTGAATCTGAAAGGGTGTCCTGTCCGAAAGGCTCTGGTAATTGCCTTTTTATTGTGGCAGCCTCTGGACCAGACGCGGGAGCTGGAGAAACTGGGAAGGCTACAAAACAGCAGGAAAAGTTGCTCTGATTAATATTACGTTAAATTAAAACTGATTTTCTGCTCTTTCTGCTCGGTTTTTT